CAACAAACGGACATTAAAGTAAGAAAAGTGTCAGATTAAACAAATAATACCTAGACGCAAAACATCAGGTGATAGTTATGCTACTTGAAAACTTTCATTAACATTGGCGCAGTAGTTTCTGAGAAGTTGCCCGGGAAATCTTTTTTCAACAAAGGGCAAAAACTTCATAAAAAGGTCAGAATGAACAAGTAATATCTGGATGCACAACTTCAGCTGATCCCAGTATACCCACCTACAATGTAATAAGGCTAACAGGTAGGGGGCTAATTAGTATGGATGTTAATGCATAGAGGTACAAGTTTGGAAGCTCATGCGTAAGGGCAATCAATAAGGAGTGCAAACAGTTAGTTGGCATCAAAGTAACAAACAAAAAAACAAAAAACAAATTAATATTCAATTCTCCTGCTGATATCAAAGCATATCCCTGGGCTCACTGGAAGCCGGTAGCTATTTATGGTATAATGAAAACTCCGTGTTAAGGTGGTGTATCAAAGGGAATTAATAGAATTTGTAGATAAACTATCAAACACAGCTGTGGTATCTAGCGAGTTGTCTCGGCAGGACGGGATTTCATGACATATACTTGACCTAAAACACAGATATAATCTGCATATCTAAATAGGTTCGGCTATTAGGCAACAGAAGGGACATGTTTGTATTATGCTCCTTATCTACCTTATGCTTTCCTGGTCACTTCCCATGTCCTCTGTTTCTTTCAGGACGCGACATTCGTGATATTTAACATAGAAACAGAAAACGCTTACGCTTCCGGATCACTCGGTCTTATTATCCTTTCCTTTTTCAAGGTTGTTCATTGAATCTTTCTGTGGTTCATCTTCTATCCTAGCTCATTGATTCGGAGTGCCTATTACAGTTTTACACACAATTCGACATTCTCCTGCTTTTAACGCTTATGCTGTAATGAAGTGGGAACCAACTGGTTGCTTTATTTATTGTTTTGTATGGCACCAAGAAGCGAAACTTTCCTGTGAATATTCGACAAATAATATTGTTCCCATGGTCGCTATAATTTATCCCTGATTATGTATAAAAAGAACGCTGTTGATCCTCCTAACCTCTAGGCGTTTTGTCCGTTTCTGAGAACTTCAGAAGAAACTTTAATATACTACCACTCAGTGAAAGGGGTTTATAGTAATCACTTTCTCAGTATATCTGTCCATACGTCGGTAGTATAAAGCTTATGCAAAAGATGTTTGTGTACAGATTCAGTTTATGTTTTAGAACATACATGAAGTGTTGTGACATCAACAATTATATTTTGACGGTCATCGATCAAAGTTCCACAGTCACAATAAGGACTTGTGACCAATATTTATAAAACCGTTCTCATGCTCAAGCACGGATTCTGTTATCATACCAGTATTCTTGTTACTCGCTTAAATCATACAATTTGATCATTTAGTCTAGTGTAAACATTTAAAACAAAATTCGGCTAAAATTGGCATATTATGATTTTCTTTTCATTTATAACCAGAACAAGAAAATGGGCTTGATAACAAAACCCATGCTTGGGTATGAGAACGGTTTCCTGAATACGGGACTTGTTTACTTTTGAATGAAACGAAATCGGGAATGGGATATTTAACAAACCCGCATTATATTTAGTTCCTATACTCCATCAAACGAGTAACTCGCCTTTTTAATTATAATTTGGAAATGACCCTATCTGGCTACGTATTATGAAATCATTATGTCAGAAAGACAATAAAATGACGACGTCTCGATTTAGATGATGCTATGGAAATGTGCATGATCACTTGTGATAAGGTATACTAGAAACTTTGCTTCTCTTTTGAATGACATTTCTATTTATACATGTAGTAACAGGAAAAAACATACTTTGCTTTATTATCAAGCAAAAGAGTTAGTCTGATGTCAACTCTATTATCACAATTAATAGTATGGTAAAATCCCTAATTAAAGCAGATATCTATGTTATGTTACCCAATATTGTGTAAATGCCGAAATGGCCTAGTCGAATAAAACACAAACTCTTCCACAGCGACAATACTCAAGGACAACAATGCGTTTGTACTTTTTCTTAAACATTTTGTTATTGAAGGACAACCAATATCACAATATATCTTAATCTGGAATTAAAGATGATACCTTGTGATATTATGTTTCCCCATAATATTTAATTTATATATTGTCTAGCCAGACATTTAGCACGCAAACAAGAACATTTCTACTTTTTCACGACATGGTTCTGCATCTGGTGTCAATTTCTTTACTGCATTAAGTGTTTTCCTTTTCATACGGTATCTGTAGTCAATGTGGAAATTACAAACATTTTTTTATGTCATATTTCAGCAGGTTTATTGTAGCAAAGTGGGTAGGAACAATTCGCTTCTTCAGGTTCATTGAGTATATAATATATGTTAAGGCAATTGTCATCATATTGTACGTAACCGTCAGTCCCGAGTCGATTCATAAACACAAGAGTGAAGCTTGCTTTGTCCTTGTGCGAGTATACTATAATAAACAGGTAACTTCCGAATGTATCTCTACCCCCCTACTTCATGTTAGTATGAGTTAACATCAGTCTAATTGGAATGTCTCTTTCTGTCCTGTTATAGAGAAACCAATGTACCTTTGGTCTGCCAGCTGTTTTCAATGTTATTTTATTATCTCTTCTTTTCTTTATTTAATCTGTGCCTCCTCCTGGTAAAAGATGTGCCATGTTTCCGTTTGATATGTCAATGTGATATCACCCTAAATAGTCCAGTTTCAGCGGACACAATCATCATATGTCTCCGAACACTTTTAACCCAAAATATATTTACCTTAATTTTTCTAAATCTCGAATTTAATAACTGATTGATTGCAAACATTTTCCTGTGTATTAATTTTTTCCGAATGGTTAAACTGGTGACGTTCACCTTACAGTTCTGGCATTGTTGCTTATATGTTGAAAAGAGCTGTCTTCCTTTTATCGTGAGTCTGGTGTAAAGGTCGTTGCTGATGAAGGATATCTGCTATTTTCAGATAACTGTCAGACCCCTCTCTTAGTATCATATTGTGTTTTTAAATATCTGACGACAGTATTGACATGTAAAAGCTCCTTTTTTTCTTTATTTTTGTTGTTGTTTTTACTCGCAATTCATATAGGTCGTTTTCTCTTTGTTTTGTTTAATTGATCGACTCCTGACGTTTGTTGGGAATGTCTTCCTTTTTGTCTTGTTTCGGTATCTGATCCTAACATCCGTATAAAAATGGGTTGTCTCCTGTTCGGTCTACAGATCAACTTCAAATTCATGCCAAGGAAAGAGTTGTCTTGCTTTTGTAAATGATCGAGTTGTCTTCTCATTGTTTTACATGTTTATAATGTAAGAAATCATGGAAAGGAGAAGTTGACCTTCCTTCGTTCAGCATAGATATTAAGTATCAATTCATGTTAAGGATATGGTTGTCTCCGATCTGTCGGCTTTACACGAATATGAAAGGATTTTCTCCCTTTGATACAGCAAGTAATATGCATCATACACGTGATACAGTTTCGTCAAAGAAGTAAATTTGAACACTCGTTAGATTAAAAAAAAGATATTAGAATATTGTAAGGATTTTTTGAAAGTTGTATTTTATTAAGTTGATATATTGTCTTATGTTTTATCCCTTACACTGGTATTACATATGTAATTCTATCACAATACACTGTGTTATTCCACTCTCAGATCATTGTATAAACATGCAGACTGTTGAATGCATATGAGTTATACACCACACGTGGTATATGACCTTCCGTACTTTTGATTGGTCGAGAAGATGAACCTTGATCGGACGACTCTTTTTCACGCGCTTTTTGCCGCGTGCTGTTTTGTTAACGTCATCTGCAGTCAACATCTGGCAAATGTTGGTGACTTTTGTGAGGTTATGCGATGGGAAAAGGGGGTTATGAAGGCAATACCAAAAGAAGATGATGCTTAAAGATTTGATCGCTAGTTTCAGGCAAAATTGCTACAGACGCTCGATATCGTTTCGACGCCATTACGTCGCGTGTCCAGGTCGGGAAACTCAGATACGTATTATATATGTCTCAGTGAAACCCAAGCAAGATCTGTAACAGTGTCGGACAGTATGTCGTTCTACCCATGTCTTTTTGACATTGACAGCGATTAGTTCGTCTACATCACTTGGTGGGAGGCAGACTTCTTACGATATGCTTACGCGCATATAGTCCGTGGTTAATTTATATTAATTGATACAATATTGCATACTCTCAATATTTAAAGTTGTTGCCAAAACATTAATTTCAAAAATTATTAAATTTGTAAAAAAAGAAGTCATTTTTTAATATAAATGAGTAACTTTTTACATATGGGTCATATAACTAGTTAGTTAATTTTCAAAAGTTACAAAAGACACTCGCTAAAGCTCGTGACTTTTGTAACTTTTGAAAATCGAGTGAAATAAATACCATATTTAACAACCACTCGTTGTGTAATCTTATGTGTATTTATGTTACACTGGTGTCTACGTATTCTTTTGAAGAATCTGTTAAAAAACATATTTGCGAAACTTTGGCTATCATTTGTCAGATTCGAGTGTGTTTCATAACGTATGGTTAGAACTTATTTTAATCCTTACACGCATGGCTGTTATTCCGTTGCTTACATACTAGACAGCTCAAAGACGTTTCTAACCTGACAAATGATTTGTATGAATAGAAATCGTAACGAAATATAAGTTGTATTTGTTTTGTATGTGTATGAAAATCTAAGATTTATATATTCATGGTGAGCAAACAATATATGTGCATGCTATGGAGCGATAGGAAACCCGTTGACATTACATATGTATATCGGTAATCGTGTGTATAACTGTTTCTTTTCAATCTTTGTCTCACCGTAAGGTAACATCCGAAAAGGTTGTTTCTCGCTGACCATATCGTGCAATCTCGTATATATCATCTAATACAACGCTTTAAATACATGCATTGTGTTTATTCAGTTAAATAAATTCATGATAAAAAGAAACACTTTTCCAAGACACAGTTTTTATTCGAAAAATAGAGAAATATATTAATGTCATGTATGTCAAAGTTCTTCGGCAAGAACAAAGAAAAAACAGGAATAATGAAAATATGTCTTAAAATAGCAAAATATTTCTCATTCTCCAGGAATGCTTATAATATATTATTCTAAATATAGTATACTAGTATCTATACTGGTATTGTTATGTATCAAAATATTACCATACTAGTTTACAACAAGCCAATATTACGGATGCTAGTCGATATTGGATGTCAACTGTTTTATTATTTGTTATATTTTCATATATATTCTCCGTTGAAATGCGTATTCGTGTTCCATGATCAGGGTAAACGCGAGTCACCTCCTAGCACATTAGGAAATAATAATACATCGACTTGTGTAAGGATGTCTTGAAATAGCTACTTATTTGTTCGAAATCGTTAATGTTGCTGATGTCTGTAAGGTATACTATTATGAAACGAAATCACACCTACTATACTTGTTTACACGCCAAAAACGTAGTGATAAGGTAGTTTTTAATGAATTTCAGTAAAAATCTTTTGCTTATGCTAATAGCTGGCGAGAGTTTAAAAGCTGCATTGTAAGGACTGTAGCGCGTCACACATGGGATTTGAAAATATATAAAAACACATTTTAAAAAGTACACAACATTTTAGGAATTAATGCAAATGAAATATAATTAACTTTTATCTATACAGTAGAACATAATTTAGATCAGTGTATTTACATCCGAATACAACGGATATCTCCTTATAATGGCTGTGTATTTGGAGTACACATGAGATGTTTCATACATGTCTTGCATATGTTAAATACGCAAACAAAATTCCAGTTAATGGAGATATGGATTGGAAGATTAATAATTATTAAAGATAGTTTTCAATATATTTGTTATCCAAAAGTACCTTTCATGACTTCATTTTTTGAGTAGGTTTTAGAGTTGATGTGTCTAAAGTATAAAATAAAACAAAATTCAGTCTATAGACGTGTAATATTCAATGACATAAATATTTTAGATGGAGGACAAAACAAAACAAAACATGGCCAGCTAATGACCGCATTAGTTGGCATTCATGATATGTTTGGTGATTTATAAATCGATCGTTTCTCTTGATTAAAAGAAAGCATCCCTTTAAATCAACCCAAATAAGAACATTTCCTCACTAACCTATTGTATTGAACACAGTAATGAAATGAAGAATTGTTTCTCCGGCACAAACCTATCATTTCGTTTTTTCTCGAGTTTCGAAATACTTTGATTAGCTTAATTGTGAAAAGGATATCATATTTTGTCCTATGTAAACCTTAACGAATTTTTCTCTCAGTTAAATAAAAAATCAAACAAACGATAGGTCCATTGGAAAACTGCATCTTTTTGAGCTTTTAGTAGAAAATATCTTCGGAGTCATGCGCCAAACACAGGCACTTCCGTCATGCGCCGTCTTATACAAGACCAGCTTCATCACTCAGAGAGCGGAGCTTCTTCCGGTATATCTGTAAAATACAAAAATAATAGTAATAAATGGAACGTGTAACAAACAGACATGAATGGATGTAGACAGTTAGCAGTCACGAGCAATCAGGTTCCCGGAAATAACAATCTCATGAGTAAGTATGATCAAGGCTATATGTAGAACAGGAGTTGGTAGGTCCTACGTAGACAGATAGCGTTATGTTTCTAAGGCAGACAGGTTATATATATGATTTCGTGACTTCTATGTCTCAAGAGCGTTCAGATATTAAATAAATGATGAAATAATCGATTTTAATTTTCTCGGAATCATGTTGGGAATCCTGTGCCACAGGTTTCAATCTCTCTGGACCAACTTTTGTAGAATGTCAGCGAGATGACATATCCCTTTGATTTACGAGGCACCATCGTATATATCTATATTTGCCTACTAATGAACCGATGACTTCTCCGGAATTATTGATGCTTCAGTTTTCCGGACCTAGCTGTTACTTGGTGTAAGGACGGTGCGATGTGCGTGTGGCGTTTCATCATGTGCGTCCTACTCAAATGTACAACAGTAATAACCATTCGACTGAATGATATAGTCGCTTCCTATATAACATCTATCGTTTATATTTCGAGCATTTGATCGATGATGTGATAGTTCAGACGATTTTGTGCCAGCTCGTCCTAGGAATCAATTACCTATCGAGACAAGCCAAAATTGTATATCAAGGATCACAAGATCAGAAAGAAAATCAAAATGTAGGTTAACAATTGAAATTATATGCTTGAGCATGTCAATTTGATATTGAATATAACCAATATGGTACTGTATTTGAATCAAGGTAAATTGCATCACGTGCAGCTATAGCGTTAGGATTGGGTTTGCCCGTGCATTATCGTTCTGATTTTGTTGTTTCTGAAAGAAGTAAGCTTCCCCAGTAGAGTTCATTGCCTATTCATATATATGGTTTCTAATTTTGGCAGTGATTTTTAAAACCTGTGGAACAAATATGACTTGATTTAATTCATCGATCGATGAAGATATACATACTTTCCTTCATACATCTAGTGTGAGTGAGCTGATAGCGACAAAACAAGTGTAGATATGATGAAGTTCGAACCTACACGTAACAAACTCGTATGGGTCAAAGCGCACGTGCACTCTCTCAATTCCGTCTAATTTGTTCGCAATATTTCCACAAGAGTAATGAAAGCTTTCGACATTCATTATTGACATACAACTCACCATTCACAAATACGGAAAGGTCATCCGCCCATATCCTAATATGATGATCAATCGATGCTTATCAACTTTCCCGCGGGGATAGGGATGCTAGAAGACCACTAACGCTTTAAAGGAAATCGATACTAGTAAATAAATACTACAAATAATTTGTAATTTACGTTAAAGATATAGCGGCTACTTTTGTAGTTGTTCAGTCTCATGCCATTCCGATCTTTACATCAATGTACAGAAGCATAGAGAAGCATGTTATCGGTGATGGGACACGTGTCCAAAACTGCTGGGAACTGCAATCAATTAAGATAAACTCAGTTAGTCTTGGCGTTTTAGTTTCGTCTCCTGAGTGTTCGGTCAAGCTTCCAAAAGACAAGAATATATTATTGCTTTTATTGCTTTTCTCGTAAACAGCTGGGACGGTCTACCGCCCAATTTGAACTAATTTGTTTGTACCCCCTAGACACTTGGCGACCAGAACATCTTCCATATTTCTCGAGGTAGTGTAGGGGAGAATAGGTTATACAAGTAAATACCGATTGTACTACTGACGAGATATCAAGAAACACCTAATTGATAGTTTTTTAAATGTCAGACAAACCACTATAAATGTGTTCTTCTGGTCAAGTTTAAAGAAAACGACGATTACTGTTTATATATAATGTTTTACGAAGATTTCTTTTTCACAAAATGCCAGCTATTCATTTATCCGATAAATGTCTTCACAGAAAATTAATTAAGCAGAATCGCAATAACATAATTAACAAACAATATTTGCGAAACTTATATTCACGCATATTAGCAATATTTGATTTTGTCGAATTGCCCTGTTCACAACTAAGGCCATTACGTGGTGCCTCCATGTGTGTAATGTATGCGTGTGTAATCTCGTGTGTATTTTACTTTTTTAGATATTGTGGACCCGATGCTGTCTTTACAGTGCTACCTCACTGAAATGCCATGCTGAAGCCACCCAGTAAAGAATTCCACTCAGTAATATTATACTGACTGGGAATAGCAACTAACATTTCTAAGGGCGTTGGTACATGTACAAATTACTTATTACCGGTCCGGGCACCGAACCCATTGCCTTCCTCACATTGCTACACCTAGACCACAAGTGAACTATTGCCAAGCAAAGTGCTAAGAGTAAAACAATCCTGTTAGGAAGTAGAGGATAATTAACAAGATTCGGTGGGTAACAGCTACGGGTATATTTTCTTTACTCAATCTACGACCTTCAGGCGTGTAAGTAAGGAAGCGTACACATAACATGTACCTAGTCCTTGTTACACATCAAAGGTTGATTTTGTCTATTTAGGATTCCATTAGTGCATTAGAGGTCAAAAGGACTTTATAAAATAATCCAACTTCATGCCAAGAGCTCTTGGAAACATACATGTATATTAGAAACATAATTAGGAAGGAAAATTGCTTCAACCCTGCTAACGTTAAAACATTTTAGCTTTTAACATATGGTTTAATATTAAACCAGTAATTCCTGGTAATCGCGCCAGAATACATTCCATCTACAAGAATGAATTATATCTGGTTAGCATTAAAATTGTATATATGGATTTTTATTGACCCGACCAGTGTTATGTGTAATGGGAATAAACAGGTATGTTGATGGCTACACCTATTGATATACCTAATCAGGCTAACATTGTCGCCTCATGATTAGAAATTATCGATTACAAATGAATACAAATATGTCATGTCTTATTTCCGCAATCTTCCTTTTTGTAGGTTTCCACTTGCAGGCCAATGTTTTCATTTGCCGATCAATTGTTTTTTTCCCAAAACATTACGCACTAAAAGACACACAGCTGGTGATATGACTTCTAAAAAACAGGTGTAGTAAACACCGCAAGAAGACAGTTGACCAACAAGTTGCTAATAGTAAGTCTATCTATTATTACGACTAATATGGTTGTAACAAGTCAACACTATATATCAATTATAACAATTGCTAAGGCTTCCATAACATGTCAACAATGGAAGGACTATAATGATTATGAATTGCCAGGTGTCAGCTAACAGTTAGTGCCTATGAATTACAAGGAACTTTATAAAAAAGACACAGTGAATGCTGCAGTTGTACGACATTGTGAATCCAGAACATTATGGAATTCTACTTTGTAATTTCTTTATCATGGAACTATTAGAACTCGTATCGGCTCGTACCAAACACATTCTCTTAAACCATCAATAAGATAATTGGCTAGGTATATGTGAGAGCGTGTTCACGCTAGGTTTGTTAAAAAGCGACACCTGGGAAATCAGCGGTTTATCAAATAGACAATAAGCACATCGGAAATTGCCCTTATGTCTGTGGAACAATACCTGCCATAAACTTAGCAATCGGTTGAACATGCACATTGCAATATTACTACAGTACATTTTCTGTGATTCATGCTATCCACTGCGCCATTGGACCACATAAAACAAGATAACAAAGGGCCAAATAGTCGCAATAAGAAGAATAGAAAAATGTTAAGATCCCAGAAGCAACAGACAACCGGTATATTTATAATGTTTGTCCTAAATGACGGGACTTATTAGAAAACCCTGATCATCTTTAGTAGCCTCAAACAATCATGTGATTGGATAGAAGTAGACTGGGATTCTTTTTACATTATCAAAAAAACTTTATGTTAGCGCGCGGTCCTAATGTCAGAGAAAACTGGAAAGCCCGAAGAAAACCCACGTGGTCGGGCTGGTGACTTCCGTTTGTGGAATTGAACCACGGTCCCCTTGATGAAAGGTGAGTGCGCTATCCACTGCACCACCCTGCAACCTTCATGATTAGGTTCGATAGTATTCATTTCTTGTCCTTGCAGCAGGTTATACTGAAAGTATTATTGAGCTATGGACAAGATTCTATAGACGCGTCTCTTTATAGATAAAAACAAAAGTGAAAATCGCAATGACTGATAGCCTGTCTAGGATAGAACGGGTCCCGTGTTACTCCGCACTTCCAAACATCAGGAAGTTGATAACAATTGTTATACATAAAAATAAACGCTATTGTTTTGTTTGGTAGAATTATTGATTTTCTAAACAAAATATTAAGTAAAAAAATATACGCAATATTGCGAAGCGTATATTTGATAAGCTAATGTACGTATATGTACGCTATCTAATTTGTGTAACAATATCAGCATGTCTCCGATCGCGTGTGTTTAATATCTTTACTGCACACAAAGGTTGGTATCACGTAACCGCAGAAAGACATATTAATGGCTGCGTCCACTTTAATGCTTGTTCTGTGTTTTTGTCAACCGGGAAAAGAAAAAAATGCAAAATATTATCAGTGCATTTGGAACTATAACTTGCTTTAACACTGCAAATGATAACTTGTATGTAATCAGAGTGTTTGGGAACGCTGAATGGAATTGTTATGCAGTGAGATTGGGAGACCTAAAAATGTATTACTTGCTATATTGATGGGAGAGAAGATATTCCAGGACATCTGAGGGAGATAGAAGGACTGGGTTTGAAACAAATAGAGAAACAACACTCAATGTTTTCGACAAAGATGGAACGACATACCCGTACAACTGGCTACCGCACTGGAGAGGTCGAAGTGACTTGTTTGCAATGACAGTGCCCTTGCATATGATTGTGTGAACTTAATTTATATTACAAGAATATACATCGAATGTATAATCCTAGATTGATTTTTTTTTCAGCATTAACATACACGCAGATGCGTTTGTTTATATAAGGTCTAACGTTAAATATCAGCACCTACAATTTTGTATCTATAACTTATTTAAAAAGGCAGGCATTATA